GGGCCAGGGTTTGGGGGTGGGATGGCAGGGGTAGGGGGGCGGTTGGGCTGGGGGAGCTTAAAGGGCTTTGCCCACCCAAACCATTCTGGGATTCTATGATTAAACTAATTTGAGGGAAACCAAGAACGAGAGATGTTTACCGTAGGGAAGTAGCACTGGCTCAACTGTCCCCAAAGGGCTGACCAGCTCTTTGTCTCAAAAACCCCTTATCGTGGCGGCCCAGGGAGTTTTTCAGTAGGAGCCATGAAAGCCCGAAGTGATACCCTCCTGTATCTGCAACGTGGGTGTCTTTCTGTGCAGCCTGGTCCCTCCTCTTCATCCGCACATGTCCCAGCTCGGGGAGGACTGATGCCTGAGCGGGTTCAGGAGTTCAGCAGTGATTTCTGCCCCACACCATCCAACTCTGTGTTTGTAGAAAGCATGTCTAAGGAAATGTCAATTGTGTGGTTAACCTCAGTATAACTGGGTAACTACCGTGTGGTTCAAAGTATAATGACTGTTCTTCGTCCCTCTCCACTCTCATGAGAAACCTTCGTTTCCTTTTCTTACCCTCCAGGAGAGTATGTTGATGAGAAAGGACAGATCATAATTGACGAGGAGGAGTTTTTACTCATCATGAAGCTGAAAGACCTGAAGGAAGAGTACAGGTCTGGCTACGCTGAACTGCAGGACCTGAAGGCAGAAATCCAGTACTGCCAGCATCTGGTGGACCAGTGCCGGAATAAACTCATCTCAGGTACTGGCTCGCCGGGGCGGTTTCTGAACAGCCTCCAGTTCAGCTGGGATGCTTGGTAGCAGCTCAGTACTGACACATTTCACAGACACGTTGCATATAAGCCAAGTCCATCATCCTCTGTTGTCATTTTTCTTGTCAGCTTCCAGACTTGTTTTTTATTGATGATTGGGTGGGTTGTTGTTTTTTTTTTTTTTGCAACAGGACACTGAATTGCTACAGATTCTCTCTCACAGGTAATGACATACTGCTCCTCGGCCGCGCCACTAAGATGCAACGCTGTGGGTAAAAGCCTTTCGCAACGAAGCCGACAATAACACTCCCACTGATGGCCCTGGTTCTCACCCTTGATTTTGTTTACTAGAAATGGTGGCTAAGGAACTTTCCTGGGCCAGGGCTTTGGCTCTGGGCTACAGATGTCTCCTCTGTACCCTGGTGAGATCCAGGTTCCGGTGTTGCAGCACGGGCGCCTTGGCAGGAAGCAGAGCTTAGCCATTTTAGCGTGTTTTTCACGAGCACCACCCTCGTGGTGGTGAGTCACACCTCTGCTCAGGGTGAGCCGTGCAAATTCGTGGTGTGCTCCACTGCAAGCCGCTCAGTTTGGGTCCCTGCTAACAGGAGTGCAGTCCTGCTGTATCCCCGAATTTGTCCCATATGACGGAAGACAGTAAGTGTACGAATGCCAGAGTCCCAAACATTTGGATGCTGCGCACATGGCAACACTTTATTTTCTACAAACTTGCCAGAGCACGATTTGTATCCCTCAGCGCATCCCACGCTGAAAGAAATGCATGGCTCGTTCCAGGAGATACACAAGGCCAAATTGTAATTATGCAGAAACTTTGCCACTGGTTTCCGTTGGATCCGGGTTTGGCATTTTTTGGGTGCTCCACATGTTCGTTGTTTGTCTACACGTAGAGGCATGGACTCAATATCTGTGTCATCCCAGAGTGAAGAGGTCATCTCTGAGCTAAAAGCAGGCTAAAAAATCAGTGGTGGTGCACCATGTGCACAGTGCCTAGCGAGAGCAGGGCTCGGCGTTTAACCTCATTTATCCTTCATAACTCCCGCGACAGAAAGTGACTCCGTTCCTTGGGTCCCTCCTGGGCAGCGCAGCCTTTTTCAGGGGCTGTGGGCTCTCCCCTTCCATGGGGAAGTGTGCCAGAGGGATGGAGCAGAGCTCAGCCCCTTTGCAGCACGCATCTGGGACGTGCCCACTGTTGATAAGGACGGGATTCCTGCCGCACCGCGGCACCTGCTGTGCGTTCTCATGGACGGAAAACGGCTGTGTTTCTTTAGCATTTGGAATTGGAATCTGACCCTCAAATGTGCTGCCCACTCCACATGGCTAGCTCCAGCGCAGGAGCAGTGCCATCTCGTGGCCAGTCACCTCTCGGCCTGCACGAGCCCAGGGGACTGTCCCCAGGGCCAGCCACCAGCCACCTCGCAGGCCTCAGCGCAGCCAATGGTGCCATGTCCCTTTTAACTGACTTTTCTAATAGTTTGAAACTCAAGAGCTTGGAGTTCTGAGGTCCTGCCTGAGAATCTAAGAGCACTTGAGGTCCCGGCTGATCCATGGGCGGGGAGCCAGAACCAACCCCCCCTTGTCTCTTCCATCATTACAGCCCTGTGAATTTATTGCCCCCTGCTTTGCTTTGCAGAGTTTGAGATCTGGTACAGCGAGTCCTTCCTTATCCCCAAGGATGTGCAGGAAGCTCTGAAGCCTGGTGGCAACATCAGACCTGGAATGATTCCCATAAACAGAGTCATGTGCCTGGTGAGTTGTCCTGGCAGCTCTGCTTATTCTCCTTGGTAGCCACACGTGGCACGGTAATGAGGGCACAACTAAGCCCGTGGGAGGAGGAGGGCACGGCAACTCTGCCCCTTTCTCTAAGCAGAGTGGCTGGCACTGAAATGCTATCTGCTATGATGCAGAGAGCAACTATCTGGAGCTACATCTTACTTTCACAGTAGCTTTACTGTTAAGAGGCTAAAATAGGACAGAGTGATTGAAGTACCCGGTCATCTGCTGACTATCAGTAATCGGGCAAACTGCCCAGAGGTGCCAGGGGTGGTTGGGAGGCTTCTATCCAGTCCGTCTGATCTGTCATGTTTACAGCTGAACTATTATGTCTCCTGTTGTGGCAACTGGTACTCAGCCAGCCCTCTTTAGAAACCACCACTTTGGGGTAGCTGGGGTCTTCTGTCATTCCTGACAAAGCACATTTCTCTGAAGCTTCTCATTTACCAAGGCTGCTTCTTTGCGTTATTCTCCTCCAAAGTCATTCTAGGTTTTACCCTTCATTGTTAAGCGTCAGACTCAAAAGCTTCGTGCTGCTCGACAGGAACGTGGCAGCAGCGCTTCCACTCTGTCCGACGCGACGAAGCCGTGCGTGGCAAAGAGGGAGATCCTGCCCTGGCTGCAAGGGGGAACCAGCCCTTTGTAGGTGTAACACATCTCCATTATCGCTGCTTAACCTCTGCACATCGCAGAGAACAGCTCGTGGGGACAGGTCCGAAGTCCATCTCTCCCGGGAGCCTGTCCCTACCAGGAGCAGGGGGCACCCGCGGGGGTTTGTGAAAGGGAATGAGCAGGGTGTGAGCTGTGTGAGCCCTTTCCTAAATGCACAGCCCCGTTCCTAGCACACGTGTAGCGGGGGACAGGATGGCTTTAGCTCTTTAGAAGGAAAACAGGAAAGGAACTCTTTTGTCTCCAGGTGTCTGATTATTTTGACTGTAAATCTCAGCGAAGCATTTTCTTTACTCCCTTCTGGAAAGGCATGTGAAGGGTTTTAAAGCTGATCAGACAGGTTCTTCCCATCCTACTGAATTAGTTCCCTTGAGGGTATGAATAACAAACATGATGTGAGGAAAAAAAAATAATAATAATGTAGTGAGTTTATTTTTAAACAGAGTGTTGGGATCTACCAGAGTGTGGAAGATTTCAGATACAGATACAGACCTGTGTGGGAAAGAGCAAAAAAACCCCAACCCAAACCCCTTTGGATAACGCGATGCACCTAAGGAGATCCACAGGAAAACCCTGACTGGCTGCGTGGGTCCAGGATGTCACTTTTTGGGGAAAAGAGGAAATCCATCCATCGCTGGTGGCTTTTACTAAGCCGAGTTACTCAATGTAGGCATAGAAACTCCCTTCATGGTTTCACAGAATCCCAGACTGGCAGGGGTTGGAAGGGCCCTCCAGAGCTCACCCAGTGCCACCCCCCTGTCCAAGCAGGCTCACCCAGAGCAGGGGGCACAGGACAGCGTCCAGGCGGGGGTTGAAGATCTCCAGAGAAGGAGACTCCACAGCCCCCCTGGGCAGCCTGGGCCAGGGCTCGGGCACCCTCACAGTCAACAAGTTCTTCCTGACGTTCAACTGGAACCTCTT